AAATTCATAGTTTAGAGACAGGCAGAAGAAAATGATATCAGTGGTTGTTTCTTATAAGGAAGTGACCAAGTTCACCAAGTTCACCACATAATGTACTGTTTAAAACAGGTCAATTTTGAGAGTAGAAGAGAATGTTATTAAAGTTATTTCAGACTGTATAATAGTCATAAACATGCACTTACAGACAAGTCAAGATATCTGATTACTCTGAGTAACTGCGGCACTAGGGTCAGGAGCATTAGAATTTGGAGCAGACTTTCTTTTTACTGCATCACACCATGGTATATTGATCCTGGCCTCTTCTGCTTTTTTTTTTTTTTTTTGCTTTTTGGGTCACACCTGATGATGTTCAGGGCCTACTCCATGGCTTTGCATTCAGAAATTACTCCTGGTGGTGCTTGGGGGATCAAATGGGATGCTGGGAATCAAACCCAGGTCAGCTGCTTGCAAGGCAAATGCCCGACCCACTGTGCTATTGCTCCAGCCCCTTCTTTTGCTTTAAATTAAAAAGAGCCCTGGTTAAGGAAAAAAATTAGTACTAAATATATAATAAAATCAGGATGAGAGAATTTTTTTAAGTTTATGATTTTTGTCTATTATCATAAACAACAAAATCTAGCTACTGTTATGTGATTAAGGGTGAAGTTGGATGTTAATTTTTTTTCAATTAAATTTACTAACAATACAATATATGAGCAGCTATATGTTTCTTTTCTTTCTGCTTCCCTCCTTTCTTTACATTTTCCCATTACATACTTCTTACAAACAATTGTGCATAAAAACTGCTTAGGGGATAGTACAGCAGGTAGGGCGTTTGCCTTGTGCGCAGCCGACCAGGGTTCAATTCCTAGCATTCCACATGATTTCCTGAGCACCGCCAGGAGTAATTACTGAGTACAAAGCAAGGAGTAACCCCTGAGCATTGCCGGGTGTTACCCCAAAAATAAATAAATAAATAAATAAAATATAAAACCATTGCTGAATTGTTTTAAAATCTGTGTGAACGTTGATTACATCAACATTTTAGACATTAAATAATTATATACTTGCATAAATGTGTGTAATATAATATAAATTCCTTAAAATAAAATATCTATTAGGCTACATTAGTGAATGCATAAAGTATTTTTAATATGACCTATCAATATGAATAAAAAATGACAAAAAATCTTACTAACAAGAATAATAACCAAACAACTTCTAAAGCTAAACAGTGATGAAAGGGTTGTAGAGTTTAGGTTATTAATTTGCTTAATGCTCAGTAGCAGCACTATTACTGTTTTCTAAGTATCCTGCTTAACAACATTATAGATTGTTCTTTTCTGTCTTTTAACATCCAGTGAACCATTTCAGAGTGTGGATAAGTCAAACTCAAACGTATTACATTTTCCAGCTCTGTGTCTATTCAAGCATATTGACTTAAAATTTGGACATAAATTAGCAATTGTAGCTTTAGATTTCATCATCTGAAGTTGCAATCTGACTAATAACTTAGAAGACACAATGGTGAAAGAAATCCCTTAATAACTGTCACTATTCAGAAATAGACCCTGTTAGAAATAGACACTACTGGGGCCTGGAGAGACAGTGCAGCAGATAGGGCATTTCCCTTGCATGCTGCTGACCTGGGTTCAGTCCCCAGTGTCCCATATGGTCCCCCGAGCACTGCCAGGAGTAATTTCAGAGTGCAGAGCCAGGATTAACAACTGAGCATCACTGGGTGTGATCCAAAAAGCAAAAAATGAACTATTATTTTCACTTTATAGGCAAAGAAAAGTGAGTATCTTAGAGAGGTTAAGTAACATGAAAGATAACAGGTCTACAGAGCTACAAAATCAAGATTTTAAGTCAAAGTCAGTAAACCCAAGACCTGTCCTATTGCCTAGGACATTGTTCTGTGTGCTGGCCTGGGCCAGAATCAACAGCCAACAATGTATGTTCTAACTCCACACTTCTGCATTTTCTCAACTTAGACCAGAACGTGAAGGCTGATTGTGGGTCAGCATATCTCCTGGGATTTCCCCAGTGAAGTCCAAGATGAAAAATAGCTACAGGGAAATAAAGATTTTTTTTAAGTCCTTATTTCTGTTCCCTCACCAGTGAAATGAGAGAGATCATAGAGAGGACTTTGGGGAAACCTGTTATGTTCCATGTCTTAAGATACCTTAAATAAGTTAATTTGTTTAATCTTAACAGCCCTGTGACCAGAAGTTTTCATTCCCATAATGGACATGAGCAAACCAAGACCCAGAGAAATCATGTACTGTGTCTGAGGTTAAATAGTCCTTAGTCATAGATTTTAAACTCACATAGTCTAGCTACCAGTCTTTTAGGCTCTTTGCCACTCAGCTGCACAACCTTTTCTTGTGAATCTAGAATCAAGCATAGCTCTAAAATATAAATCACAAAAAATACAGAGTAAGTTTAGAATTGAGGAAAATTCCCCTGGAGAGAAGCTTCTTTCCCAGCAGGAGGCAATTTTTTCCCCTCTGACTTTCTGATCTGCTTCTTGCTTTAAAGTACAAGTCCACAGTTAGCCAGGGTCTCCATAGACACACCTCTTACCTCCTCTCACAATCCCTAGTCAAACTCTCTCTAAGTCCGCTATCTTCCTGTCTATTGTTTTCAGGGATTTCTTAGGGATTTGAGAAAATCATGGGAATAACAAAGCGTAGAGGGAGGAAGGATAAAATACAAGGTGTTTACAGACACTTGGGAATTTCAGTGATTCCAGCCAAAATTTACAGTACTCAATCTTTACTCTCTCAATATTTATCAGAACCAAGTGAACACCCTGACCTAGAAACTAGGGATACAAAAAGGAATAAGAAAGTTTTTGGACTTTGGAGTCTTAGACATACCTAAACAAGCATCTCTGTGTTCATATTTCCTTCTTGTGAACCCTTGCATATGCTGTTTAACCAACTAATATTTGTTTTCGTATATCGAGCTCATGCAAAATAAAGTTCAAGCAAACACTTTACAAATTCAATCTCTAATGCATGTGACAATTCCAGGAGATGTGTCATTATTAAAGTGTCATTATGTAACTGATCCTATTAATAAATTAGAATTTATACCCAGCTTCATAATTTTCCCACAATTTCCTCCTGCAATTCTAACCTCACTTTTCTGTGATACAGAGTTAGTAACACTATCACTTAAAGAAATAGATGAGGCCATACATAGAGATGCAATGCATGATCCAGAATAAAGCACAAGTGTTTACATTCTACATGGTGGATCCTGTTAGCATGAAAGGAAGTCACATAGAACATAATAAAGGGTCCAAAAAAGCTATGTGACTTAAGACAAGGGAATAAATCTTCCTTTTTTTCTATTATTTGATCAGGGTCTTAAAAGATGAAATGTATGTGGCAACAATAGATGGGCATAGGAAGTAAAAAATAAATATCTTTTAGGCAGAATTTGAAACAAAAAGTAGAATTGTCATGGCCACTTGTTTCATGATTTTCTTGCCTATAATATATATATATATATACATATATATATATGTATACATAGCACAGCGGGTAGGGCATTTGCCTTGCACACAGTCAACATGGCCAACCCGAGTTTGATTCCTCCGCCCCTCTCGGAGAGCCCAGCAAGCTACCGAGAGTATCTCACCCGCACAGCAAAGCCTGGCAAGCTGCCCATGACATATTCGATATGCCAAACACAGTAACAAGTCTCACAATGTTACTGGGCCCGCTCGAGTAAATCAAATTGAACAGTGGGAGGACAGTGATAGTGACAGTGAGATATATATATATATATATATATATATATATATATACATATATATATATAGAGAGAGAGAGAGAGATAGTGATATATATATATATCCCTTTTATATATATGTATTTGGGTTTGGGGGCACACCTGGTTCTGCACTCAGGAATCACTCCTAGAGATGCTCTGGGGACCAAATGGGATGCTGGTCTTACTCATTGTGCTATCTCTCTGATTCCTGCACTTGGATCTTGAAATACTTATGAACGAACCAGCAAAGATCAATTGCTTGCTTCTGGGAGATCAAATTCAGAGAATGCTCCTAGATTAAGCAGGGTTGCAGTCACGAGAAGGGTGCCACCCTGCTATCTTTCCTAAGTATCCCCTTGATTTCACGAAACAAGGAGGGCAGCATCTGTAGCAGGACTTCTAAGGAACAGCACACATGTCATTTGAGAAGTAAATAGATGAACAAAACAGGAAGTCTGGAAACACAGCTTTCCAGTCGTTCTCTGTTCCTTCCTTCTTGTCACCTTTCCTGTGTCCCCTCCCAGACTGAGTCCCCCACCACAGCAGGGGTCCTGAAACTGAGCACATTCTGCCTGCCAGTCTGGTTTCAGTACAGTCATGAGCACTCTATATTTATAAAGAAAGAGAAAAGATTATTTTACTATCTTTAAAAAAAAACATAAAAACAAGGGAATTTGTTGCTTCATATCCCTGTTGGCAAACAGACAGACCTTAGCGGGAGTGCCAACCACAGAGATGTTAAACAAGGCCACAGTCTAAAGCTCACGACCTGACTAAGCTTTCTTTCTTTCTTTCGTTCTTTTTTTTTTCTTAAAGTACAGTTTCTATTTAAGCATCTCAACGGTCAAATATAGAAGTCATTTGTTAGTCACTCTTCTGTTTTTTTTTTTTTTTAAATCAGGTTCAACAAAATAAGAAATACTAATCTTAGGATAAATCCAGTAGCCTAGCTAGGGAAACTGAGAGGAGAGGGATAAATCTTTACACAAAATCAGCAACTCAGTCTCACACAATATTTTTTTTTAAAGTCTGTGCACCACAAAAGCACACCCCCACTTTCAAAGACATTCACACAACTTCTTTTGCCATAGAGGAAGATAAATGTTACAATATCTCCTGAACCAATCAGCAACGCTGCAAGCCTCAAACCAGGAAACCCTGTAAAGTGTAGTAGTTTGAACTGTGCAAGCTTCTGGAGCTCAGCTAGTTTTTGTTCCCTATGCTTGTAGGATGGAAAAGCAGATGTGAAGTCTCTCATGGCGAAGTTTAACACCGTGGCCACCCCAACGGAGGACATCCCCATAGTGCCCATCCGGCCCTTGAAGATCCCAAGGCAAAACTCTCCCTCTGGAGCCGTGGCTAAAAAGAACTTATTCAGCGCCCAGGGGGAACCCTGTGCCCCTGGAGGACTGAGCAGTGCACCCAAGACTGTGTCTCCCAAGCCCCCTTTGGGGGTGAAGCCTTCAGAGGACAAGCCTGACAGGGAGGCCAAGCCCCCGTTACTCAAGCCCACCGGAGTAGGCCAAAGATTTGCAGCCCAGGCCAACACGGCCACTAGAGACGCCGAGGCAAAACCTGGATTTCCAAAGTCAACCCCCAAGCCCATCCACCTGCCCAAAGAAGATTACAAACCTGGGTTCCCTCCACCTCCTGGGAACAAGCCTTCATTTCCTGGGTCCAGCCAAAACCATGACCTGCCGCCACCAGGCCCGAAGCCCAGGTCCAACACTTTTGCCCAAGAGAATGAACAGAGAGCGGGATTCCCCAAGGCCAGCGGGGTCAAGAGCAGGTTCATGTCAGCCTCCCAGGAGCAGGACGCCAAGCCTCTCTTCCCCAAGCCCGTCTTCCCGAGAGCATCCGTGAATCCTGAACACTCCCATGAAGAGGAGACCCCCACAAAGAAAGGGTTCCCCAGCCCAGCAGCAGCCAAGTTAAAAGCAGGCCCGGGCAAGTCAGCCCAGGATGAGCTGGGAAATAAAGACCATGGAGGCGAGGTGGCCAGTCCACATTTTCCTGGAGTAGTTTTGAGGCCGGCTGGAAGCAGAGGGCTCCCCAAGAATGCTGAGGAGAAAAAGGAAGAGGGGAAGGTGGATGCCGCTAAGAACATCTTCCTGAACAAGATAAACCAGGAGGAGTCGGCCTCAGGGACGCCTCCCACCAAATTCCCTAAGACGCCTTCCAAGCTGGTCATAGGAGGGCCCTGGGCCCAAGGCCAAGAAAAGGACAAGGGTGACAAGAGCCCGGGCACCCCAAAACAGAAGCCCCTGCCTGCCTTGTTCACCTTGGGCCCACCTCCACCAAAACCTAACAGACCCCCACATGTGGACCTGACAAGGTTCCTAAAAGCTGCTTCTGCAAACAGTAAGTTTTGGTTTTTTTCTTCTTTCATATTTATTTTGTTCCAGAGTTGAGGGCATTTGTGCTTCTGAGGAAACATGCTTTAGTTCTTTTGTTTTATTTTATTAAAGCACCACGATTTACAAAGTTATTCATAGTTGGGTAGACATACAATGAGGAAAAACATTCTTAACAAGAAATGACCGTATCTTTGATACTGCTGAGTGTATGCTGACATTTCTTAGTGGGAGAAAAGGCAAATCAGAGTTGTCAAAGTTCAGTAAATGTCAAAAAACAAACAAACAAACAAACAAAAACCTAGTTGGTTCTGCGGAAGCTCTCTGTGAGAAAGTTCTTTGGTGGGTTGACTCTGGAATGTAGGGAGAAATAGATGTGATTGATAAGTTGTTTTGCTTCATGATAACCATTTCCCTTCCTTAGTTGGGTTCCAGAATGTTGCATAGGGCTGAGCTGTGTTGCCCTCCCACCACTCAGAAGTCAGAGGAGGAAACCTCTAATCAGTGACTCTCAAACAGGAGTATGTGGATATGTCAGAAGGTATTTTGATTGTCAGAACTTGAGGGTGTTTACTAGCCTCTAGTGGGTCAGGGTAGTGATCCTGTTGAGCACAGAGCAAGGCCAGTAGTGCCCTGCACAGCCCTGAGTTGCCCATCTCCGGATGCCATTAGTGGCAGGAGCTCTCTCCAAGTGATTTTCAAAGTCCATAAACTCAAAGTAAGTTTCCAAGGTGCTGCATTCAGTAAGAGGTGGTCAGATTGACAATGGTACATGCTGCCTTCTGTTTCTCTGCTTCTGTTGATCTGCTTTGTAAGGTAGTATGTATTCAGAAAAGTAAGTCAGGCCTCACATGCATTATTCTCCTCTGGGCAAATAACATCTACCAGAGATGTTACCACAACCCCATGGCAAAGGAATCAGTTTTGAAACTGAAGACTTGGGAAATATTTGTAACCCTGCATAGTGACCATAAAAATTTTTGGTCTTGCATAGTTGTTATTTTAGCGAAATAATGTGCAACTGTTGTTTATTGTGAGGAGGATGAAGGATACTGACAAACGATCATACTTTAAGTCTCTGTATTCCAGATCCCCTGTCTTCTGCCACCTCTCCGTCTGGGCTGCCTCTCTAAATACAGAATAGCAAGAGGCAACAAATCAAGCACAAATGAAATCCAAAATAAAATACTCATTTCGTTTCTCTGTTCTTGTTTGAAATTCTTGGTGGATTTTTTGTTTGTTTTTCATTATAAATATCACTTTGAGTATATGAAGACAGATACTTATCTGCTTACTGTTAGTTGTAGTCCATAAATAATATGACTAGTTGTTTCTCATATTTGTCATCTGATCAAAGTCTATTGAACCAGAATTTTAGTATTAATAACTTCCACATTTAAGAATTATCTTAAATTAGAGAACTCCTGCTCACAGACTGGCAGGAGCTCAATAGAGCTCAGATGCAAAGAAAATAATACACACAGGCTTCCTACCGTCCACCTAGTCAACTTACTTGCAAACCATAAAATTGAATCGAACATAGTGTTTTTCTCTCTTGAGGGTTGGGACAGGGTTTGGGCCACACCTAGCAGTCTCAGGGGCTACTCCTGGCTCTGTGGTCTGCGGTTGCTCCTGGCAGTATGGGAAAACCATGTGGTTCCTATAAGCAAACTGGGATCCACAGTATGCAAGCAAATGCCTTAAGCCCTATACTATAGTTTCAACCCAGTATGGTGCTTTTCTAACCATGCAGTTTATCACATTTTTCTCTGCTGCAGAACCATTTTGCCCATGTCAGAACCGTTACAAAAGCATAAAATTAAAAAAATAAAATAAAAAGTACAAATTCAAAATCTCAAAGTGCCTTTTGAACAAATCTTTTCTCTGGTTCCTTTTGGTCCACAGCAGTGGAAGGATCACTCCAAGAATGGGCGTGCACACCTCCCCTGGCTTAATGATTCAATTAGGAGTTAGTAGAAACCTGCTAGGTAATGTTCAATCTGTGCCTTTTTCTATTCTGGTTCTTAGTACTGGAAAGAAACTGATGCTCATTGTTCCATAGGTTAGCTATAAGATAGTATATTGAACTATCTTCATAACTAAAGCCAGGTCCAGAAGACATCTGCAAAGGCTCACTGGTACACTGAGCTGCTCAGGATCTCCTAAAGCAGCAATGTAAATATTTCAGTTTACAGCTATTTGCTGGAGAGTTTATATAGTCATTTATTTACTTTGTTAATTGGTTAGTATTGCAAGGCTGCGTATCAAAATTCAGGAACTCACACATGCACGGCAAGGATGTGTGCGCATGGCCTATCACGAACCTTCCTCCTGGTCTTACACTACCTGGGAACTCAAAGATTCTTGGGAAAGTCTTGCTAGAAGTTAACTTGGTTCTAGGACACAGATAATAATTTCCTTCCTAGACTCCGAAGGCCTCACCATTTTTTTTTCCCTTCACTCTTCTTTCACTTGTCTTCTCCTAAAATAAACCTACTTGGAGGTCAGAGTGATAGTACAGTGGTAGGGCATTTACCTCCACACGGCCAACCCAAAACATAAACAAACAAGCAAGCAAACAAACAAATAAATAAATAAAAACCCTATTTGATAGCCATAGATTGAAAGCATTTTAACTCAGTGTATGTTACTAGGAATTCTAGAAAAGATGACTCTGCTCACACCCCCCAAAGAAACCCAAGCTTTTAACAGCAATCTCAAATGTTGGCAGCCTATTGTGCACTTGGAATCTTAGGTCCAAGTCCCTGAGAAACAGATTTCAGACACTGTTTCTGGAACAATTCACGGAATGGGCTATTTCAGAATAGAGAATTTGGAGGCAAAGTGCTTCAGAGCACAGACTGAAGCTAATACTCCTGAAAAGGTGGTTCTATTTCAAGTGGTACTAAAGACTTTTGAACCTCCAGGTGCTTGGGGCACACTTTAAGCCTGGTGTCACTCCTCCTTCTAGCTGCAGCTGAGCTATCTGTTTTACCCATCATCTTTTTCCAGCGTGAAACTTCAGAAGAACCCCTGTTAATTATGCAGCTTACCTGGGTTGTCTTTGAGTATCTGTGAGACTCCCTCCTTTCATCCACACAAGTCTCCATTCATATCTTAGGAGCTTGCTATTCTTCATATTTCTCTGAATTCTTATCTTCTATTCCCAACTCTTCTAAAGTAAACCAGTTCCTTGATCTAACCATGGATTTTCTTAAAGATTGGGTTTGGGGTAGGGGAGATGGTTCTGGTGGGGGAGGGGCCAGTCCACAGAACCATCATTTTTGCAGGGAGCATCCTTTGTCCTTTATAAAGCCCCATATCCTTATCCTTTTTTGTAAGTTATCTACATGGTCTTAAGTTTTCTGTTCTGCCATTTATTTTCTTTAATTTGCTTTTGGGGGGACCAATCTGAAAGATATTTCTTCTGAAAATGATTTTCTTTTCTGTCTGCAATTTCAAAGAAATCTCCATCCTAGAGGTTTAAAAAAGTTAACCAAGTCTCTAGCTCCCATTTTATCATCAGTGGGGTTTTTGATTGTTTTGATCTCTTTTGGTATTACACCTGGTGGTGTTCTGGGGCTACTTCCAACTCTGTGCTTAGAAGTTGCTTATAATCGAACCCAGTCCTCCTGCATGTGACCCACACTCTCAGCCTGTTGAGCTATCTCTGTTGTCAACATTTTCTCAGCGACATTCCCTCTTGTCCCCAAGATTTTCCGATTTACATGTGCAGAGGTCACACTGTTCCTTTTGACCTGGCTGATGGCTAACACACATGTGCCAGGGATCAAATTCCAGGTGCAAACATACAAAAACAAACACGTACTCCAGCCACCTGAGCATAACTAGATATTTCAGTATAATTAAGGAGTCAGAAATATGACCAAACAAACATCGTTTGACCCCTTTGGGAGGTGGGTAGCAATGGGGCAGACAGGAATCTCATGTGGATTTTGTTTCATGTCCTCCAGCCTGGACTCTCAGAGAGAGGATCAGTTCCTAATATTTTCCCAAGCCTCCTTCGCTGAGGAGTCTTCAGGTGATGATCAAGGTGGCCCGAGAGAACGTCTAGCTTCCTGAAGGATGCTTTACCTCTGCTAGCTTGTCAAGAGCCCGAGCACTGTCATATTTAAGTCTTTTTTAGCACAGCAGTTTATATTTACACTAGGAGTGCAATAAAATTCTGGATCAGAAAATGAGCCATCAGCAGAGGAGCCCAGAGGCCGACCTGTGGGAAAGGCAAAATCACTGTCTTTGTGGTTGATGCATTCTCCAAACAGTTTTAGGTGGCCAGGAAAGGTTTAGGTAAGCAGTTTAATGAGAAGATTTGAGGTTTTCTGGACTTCTGTGCATTTTAGAAGAGAAAAGAAAAGTTGGGAAAAGAGAGAGGGGGTAACAAAGGACTGTAGTCAAGAGAGGAGACATGAGCAGATATGAGAAGATAAGTAAATGATTTTCCCCATGCTACATCATAAAATTTCTACTGTTTTCTCCCCAATCCCTCAATTTTATTTTTATGAGCCTCTCAGTTGTTTATTATTATTATTTAGGTAACTACAATGAGATACACAGTTACCAAGTTGTTAGTGATCGGGTTTCAGTCATATAATGCTCCAACACCCGTCCTTTCACCAGTGTATATTTCCCACCACCATATTTCCCACCACCAAATATATGTCCCATTTCCATTTCCCAACATCCATTCCCACCCTCCCTCATCACCTGAGTCTATGGCAGGCATTTTTCTTCTACTCTCTCTCTCTCTCTCTCTCTCTCTCTCGCTCGCTCGCTCGCTCTTGCTCTCTCTCTCTTGCTCTCCCTCTCTCCTATGCATTATGGTTTGCAATACAGATACTGAAAGGTTATCATGTATATCCCTTTAACCTACTTTCAACATTCAGTTTTTGTCTTGAGTTATCATTTCTATTATTGTCATACTGTTCTCTTCTCTATCCCAACACTTTTTTTTTAAATTCTGATCCAGAAATTTTTTCCAGAAAATTC